ATGGCACCACAACAAACCTGCCAAGAGAGGGCCGCCCACCAAAACTCACGGACCAGGCAAGGCGGGCATTAATCAGGGAGGCAACAAAGAGACCAAAGATAACCCTGAAGGAGCTGCAAAGCTCCACAGCAGAGATTGGAGTATCTGTCCATATGACCACTTTAAGCCGTACACTCCACAGAACTGGGCTTTACGGAAGAGTGGCCAGGAAAAAGCCATTGCTTAAAGAAAAAAATAAGCAAACACGTTTGGTGTTCGCCAAAAGGCATGTGGGAGACTCCCCAAACATATGGATGAAGGTACTCTGGTCAGATGTGACTAAAATTGAGCTTTTTGGCCATCAAGGAAAACGCTATGTCTGGCACAAACCCAACACCTCTCATCACCCCGAGAACACCATCCCCACAGTGAAGCATGGTGGTGGCAGCATCATGCTGTGGGGATGTTTTTCATTGGCAGGGACTGGGAAACTGGTCAGAATTGAAGGAATGATGGATGGAGCTAAATACAAGGAAATTCTTGAGGGAAACCTATTTCAGTCTTCCAGAGATTTGAGTTTGGGACGGAGGTTCACCTTCCAGCAGGACAATGACCCTAAGCATACTGCTAAAGCAACACTCGAGTGGTTTAAGGGGAAACATTTAAATGTCTTGGAATGGCCTAGTTAAAGCCCAGACCTCAACCCAATTGAGAATCTGTGGTATGACTTAAAGATTGCTGTACACCTACGGAATCCATCCAACTTGAAGGACCTGGAGCAGTTTTGCCTTGAAGAATGGGCAAACATCCCAGAATAGTTATGCACGCTCAAGTGTTCTGTTTTTTTGTCTTATTTCTTGTTTGTTTCACAATAAAAAATATTTTGCATCTTCAAAGTGGTAGGCATGTTGTGTAAATCAAATGATACAAACCCCAAAAAAATCCATTTTAATTCCAGGTTGTAAGGCAACAAAATAGGAAAAATGCCAAGGGGGGTGAATACTTTCGCAAGCCACTGGTAGGTTACGCTATATTTAGATACTTCAAATACTGCCTGAGACACCTTTGCTATTTGTCTCCGTACTCATTAGATGGTGAAACACTATTTGTGATGGTGTTCTTTGTTCGAATGTATATGCATGAAACATACATTATGGAAAACATGTCTCACAGTCAGTCATAGTTAGTAGAATAATGGCACAGTCAACTTTTAGAAGGTTAGTAGGAAAATTAATCATTTAAACCAGCTAAATATACTCGCATTCACTGAACATTTAGTATTTGAACTTAAAATCTTTATTTTCCAACTGCTTTTTCTATAATCCTAAAGGCTCTTTATCATTTTCCATACGTTATATTCCGATGCATTCAAAATTATGCATGCCCACCATAGAATTGGGCAGCTGCTATTTGAGAACTCATCTGATTTAGAAATCAAAATCTGGTCATCTTATTGCAGAGCACATTGTACAACTGTTTTGCATTGCAAGGTATGCTATATGTGTAGGCTATGCCATACGTATTGGCTAATATGCATATGCAGCTGTCGTTTTTTATAGCATACATGACACACACACCTTTCTATCTATTTCTTCTATTTAGGTTTCTATTCTAGTATATGATTGAATGTTTCTTTAAGCCTGCAGTTAGTTACTTGAAATTAGACATATAATCATGCAAAAACATGATTAAAAAATTGAATTCACTGACAGAGATAACTAATGAAACACATTGACATTTACAGTAGTTGGCTAGGCTAGTCAAACTGTAACAGGGCTGCCAACTTTTGAAGAAAGCTTGGAGTGAGATTTGCCATGTGAATTTCATTGCCACCTGGCTCAACCCCTAGATGGAAAATTGTACTGTTTTAAAGCACATTTCCTGCAATGCTACGTATTTTCACATGGCTTAGGCATATGACTAGGGTCGAAAATGAAAAAAATAAAACCACAGGTCAGAATGCTTTGAACATTAAATTAACTCTCACAATTTGGCGACTTTGTTGCTTTTAGATTTTTGGGGGATGAAATTTAAAGTAAAATTTTAATATTAATGGTTGATGGCAGTGGGTAACCAAATCATAGATAGCAGTCTCCTTGTCCATAGACTGCTTTCACAGTAAGGACACAAACATCTTGTAATTTGGGTGAACTTTCTTTAAAATTGGTCTGGAAGAAAATCCTGCTTGCTCTCCAGGATGGTTGGGCTCTCCTGAAGTGCTGGGTGTTTGAAAATGTTCTCGTTATAACAATACATTTCTTAAAATCACCCAACTTTCAAGAAAAATCTAATGAATGTCAAAATTCAGGTGGTTTATGCCTACTAGTTGAAGATCCTTGCCATCATCTTACTCTACATATACAAAATATGATGCGTTTATGCAGGGGCGCAACATTAACTGGGGACAGGGGGGACATGTCCCCCCACATTCCTAAATTGCATTTTTGTCCCCCCCCAGTTTTATCATTGCAATGTGATACAAAACGAGGCAACGGTGTGCTTTAGGACAATGCGGACGACTCCGAGCGGTCGGGTAGGCTGTTTGGAGTGTTTATCCGACTGGATAAAATAAAATAAAAAATGTCCCTCCCACTTCTAAAACCAAAGATGCGCCTCTGCGTTTATGAGTTGTGAGTACCCCTACCATCTCTGCCTAGCATGTGCACAATACTAAAATGTCCTAAATTATATTTGATTCCTGGAGCATTTAATATCCCATGCTTTTGGTATGACTTATTCAAAATTGTCCATGAATGGCTGCAAAAATACACAGTCTCATATAATTCATTTTCCATGACACAAGTAGCCATATCAGATTTCAAATGTGATTACACTGGCAAAATTGGGAAGAAGTGGGGGAATAAAAGTAGTGTTCTTGCTGACAAGCACAGTAATTACCCTATATCTTGTTAAGAATGATAATTATTCCACTGATCAGACTAAATAAAGTAAATAAATAATACAATCTCCTGAAGACAAGATGACATAAATCTGCCCCTACACCCTAAACAAATTATGTTTCTATTTATTGTCCCACCTCTAGAATAAAACATACACTTTTGGGTTCACAATCTGTTTGACAAAATAATTTTCTTAGTTACAAATCAGGTCACCCTACCAAACTTCCCTGCTAAAACATACTGTACGGTCTATCCTGCTGCCTTTTCGTTGTCACAGCCTAGACGCCAATCACCAAACAAGGGGACTAATGTAAATGTGGATTAAATAGACGTTAGTACATGCTGTCAAAAGGCTGTATTCTGCAATAGGGACTGGGGTAACAGCAGCCTACTTTTGTTGACAACATTGTACATAAAACTGTGCTACTCTTTTTAGAGTTTTATAAACTAAGCAGAAAACGTTCTCTCTCTCTCTCTCCATTCAGCGCCACTCTAATCTTGGGGCGTTTATTTAAAACACGCTTGATCCCTTACATAACTAGACCAATCATATGCTTGAAATGTGCCGCGGTTCACAGTGCTGTTGCAAGACAGGACAATGATAGAGGTTCAGCTCGTGATGCTAAATTGCAGGCGCAGAAGCTCCGATTTCAAAACGATTTGGAGCACAGTTGAAAAGTTAACGCGCTGTCTATACAATGGACTAATTAGAAAAATAAAAGCAGAGGATCAAATCCGTGTGTCTCACGGCCAATGCGTGAGAGTTGGCAGCTCTACTGTAACATAGGCTAGCTTTCAATAAATTGGCTAAATGGTCAACGGAATTGCCTCTTCATACGATCAAGACAATTCATATTGCATGCTGCACATTTCAAGTGCACTCGAACACAGACATTTAACTTATTTCAGTCTTTGGGAAATAAGAAATAATAAGCCATCTATTCCTCTTCATCAGACAGCAGCTCGCGTTTTCACAAGAGGCTGTTTACGTCGTAGATAGAAACAGGCCATTGGCTGCCTTCATCACGAGGGGTATGTACTGGAGTTCTGATTGGTTCCAAGTTTAGCGGTTTGTCGAATTTGCCTGAGCAGGCAGTGTTGAAATATGCTTTTTATGAGAAAATGTGCAAGAATTGAAGGTGCCAAGAAATGTTATAGTCACCATAAATGTTTTACTGTCACATACAAAAAATCTGGTCCTCCGTCGACATATTTCGCCCCCACTACATCCCTCTCGCTTCGAGAAAGTGGTATCTGCGGACCGAGTGGGTGTATGGGAAAGCGAATCAGCTAATTGGGCCGATGTGTTGCCACTCAAGCCAATGCCATTTTGCGTGGCTGATTTGGGCTGCACTACAAGTCGATAAACCGGTGATGAGTGTTCACTGCTACGGTGTTGTGCCTGCCAATTGTCACATTATTTTATTTCAAGTAGGATAGCAGTCTACACAACAAATAACTAATATTATTAACCATCTAGATGTCAACTTAATACTGTAATACATAGTATACTACGGCAACAACCGGGTCACAGTGCCCTTCGCTCCCGCTTGACAAGCACGGTAACGGCATGGGAAGTAGACATCTAGCCAATATCAGGCCCAGCGTGACAGTAAGCAAACGCGTGAAGCAACAGTAGCCTACACCTATCATCAATACTTTATCAAAAATAAACACCCGGCAGTTTTATAACTGAAAATGTACAATTATTTGTGTAAAAGTAGCAGTGAAATACGACTCATCCTATGGTTTAAAAAATAAATAACCTATAAGCAGAACGCTTTGGTCGCCATATTTGGCTGCAGCTTCGCCTCTTCCTCTGCTATTCTTCCTCTCTGCTATTGAGCAACACACCCACCTTGAGATTCGGGTTCTTATTGGCTGCCACGCCCCATGGCTGTGAGAGCCTATGGGTTTCCTCTCATACGGGGCAGGAACATTCTCAGCCAATTGGAAACATAAGGTGGAAGATTGGCACGGGACCTCATGAATATTACAATAGGGCAAATTGACGGCTACTTATATTCAAGTTCACACAGATCGTTCCCTTCTTCTCTGTCCGAAGCCAGACAGTAACAACCATACAGCGATCACGACTGAACGATCCAAAAGAAGTCAATCATGTCCGAGAAACTGCCCTTCAAAGTTGGTCAGTATGAATTTACATTATTTGTATTCTTTATCATACACGCGAGCTTCAAGTCCTTCATTGATTGTGGATTACCGGGTGGCTAGCCGGCTAATGTTGTCGCGTAGTATTGCTTTTAGCTTTCAATTGGCTGGCTAGTGGGTAATTTGGCTGACTCTAAAATCAAATGTTAAGTTATCTTTGGACATTTGGCTAACAAAACATTTGCTAATGTGCACTGGTATTTATACATTTGTATAATCCAGTTGGGGTGGAACACATGGTCCATTTTCCTGCTGCCTTTTGTTATATTTATTATTATTAGCATTATTTTTACAATGTTTTACCCATGCATAACCATTAACAGGAATTTCAGCATGCAATTCACATATAACTTGGTAAAATATACGTTTTGTTACGTTAGTTACAGAAGGAATAGAGTCGGCATAACGAACATAACACTGGCCCACAAGCAAGCATGGTTTCATTCAGAATACTTATTTCTATGTTAATGGTAGTTGTAGTCCATTTAGTCGAGCCTGGTGTATTCGTTCGTATTCGGAACTTGGTAGTAAAACTACATTACCTAAATGTCAGTGTGGAGCCACCGGTTTTCATTGATTGACAGGCAGTCTGGCAAAGCAGAGAAATATAACAGTGTGCTATTGTTGATTGTGCACTAAATCCATATTGTGTTTTTATGGTTTAACTTTGGAGGGAATTGGGCACAAGTTAAGATTTGTTGATAATAAAATAAATAATGCCCAACTTGTGACTTTGGTGACAATGACAACACTTGTTTGAAATTTCCCATTCATGAAGGGAAAAATCTCCACACTTACTTGGAAGGGTTCCATGATGTGAAACTATGTAGCCTGTGTGTATAACGTTAGGCTTTACACCTTTCTACCAGCCTATGTCTTACTTGGTTACATAACTTTTTAAAAGGTCTCTCACCTAGTATTTTTCAGTCCTCCCTTGTCACCCTGACACAGGTGTTTTAGGAATAGTAGAGGGCTAGTTAATCAATGGCTTGATGGTTAGTGCTATCCGGGACCCTTGGGACGTCCCTAACCATAACCCTTGGGACGTCCCTAACCACTTTAAATGTAAACTTCGGTAGGGGGGGTAGGGATGTCCAAAGGATCCAAGGAACATGGCTTGATGGTAGTGTCCTGCCTTAGACTTTGTCCCACAACTTTCTGGGTCAGAGTTGCCCAAACGATACTGTTAGCGTTGTATCATTCAGTTGATATTTTGGGGTGAACTAGGCCTATTTTTTTTTATGGCATTTTTTTATCTCAGACATCCTGGAATAATATCCATGGCTACTTTTGAGCAGCCTATATTTTGCCTCAGTCTTGATAGTTTTGCCTGGTGTGGACATATTTTGGACCCTCGACGCAAACTGGTATGCTGGACTGCTCCAGTTCAGTGCGGTTATGTTTGCAGTTGGCACACATTCAGGCTCACTGCATCTGACTGGCGTACAGGAATAAGGTTCAGTTTAACTCTCGAACCCAAGTGGGGTATACCCAGCTTACAGCCGGCACCCCATGGGGTTGTCAGCTGACGGTGCTGATCACAGCTGGCTCCCTCGTGAACAATAAATCCTGACGCTTTGTTTAATCCCAACACTTTGTCTTGCGATACGGTTTTGGAAACCTTTGGAACTTAACTTTCATAAGCGAGAATCTTTCAAATACAAAATATACTTACTGTGCGCATTTTAGATACTTACTATGCGACACATCTTCTCACCTTGCGCTCGCATTTCCATTGGACCGTTCATTCCACATTTCCTGTGTTTCTCAAAATACAGCCAGGTGCAACATTCCTGAACTGTGTACAGTAAGTGTCTTGTATTTGAATAATTATTTCTCGCTTTATATGAAAGTTAAATTCCAAATGTTTCCAAAACTATCGCGTGCGAGGCATATTTGTGTTTTAATACAGAGCATTTAGGCAGGGTCGGAGAGTCTGCGAAATCCCCTGGGGTGGCAGACTGCTTTGTGAATAGACAGTAATGTTTAATAACATTTACCGTCTTTTTGAAAGGGCTAGGTTCAGTTATGAGACCTCTGAAGAGTGCAGTGTTGGATTGCAGCTGTTAAGAGCCAGTCGGCGGAAGCTGCAACTGATCTTGACTCCCAAGCGAGTTCAGCCAGTGCAAGGCAGCTGCCAATGTCTAACTTGAAGACAAACTACTGTCTCACTGCCAGCCCGCTCTCTCCTAAACCACAGCTTGATCTCAATAGATCATGAGATGACTACTTGCAATGAAAGTTTTGGATAAATTACAAATTATTTAAAATCAATGGCCATGAAGTGAAGGAGATGCCACGGGAAGGAAATTATCATGGACAGTTTAGTCTTGATCAACCTATACTGAAAAAAATATAGAAACGCAACGTAACAATTTCAAAGATTTGTCTGAGTTACAGTTCATATAAGGAAATCTGTCAACTGAAATAAATTCATTAGGTCCTAATCTATGGATAGTCATGTGACTATGGAACATTTCTGCGATCTTCTATTTCAGCTCATGAAACATGGACCAGCACTTTACATTTTGCGTTTTATATTTTTGTTCAGTGTACATAACCTCAGTTATACAGTAGTAGCCTAACTTGGACTTAAAGTGATAGTTTACTCCAAAGGAAAAGTTCAGAACCCCAAATGATTGAGAAGGATAAACTCTGGCTTATTTGATCACTTTAGAAGGTGCATGTCCTTTCCCTTTTCATTCTAGCTCTGTAACATTTCAGGTCTGAGAACCTCTGACACTTTGGACTATCACTTAATCAACATGTAGAACCTGTTTATCAAGTAGCAGTTTATTTATGTTTTTTTTTTTTTCACCCTCCGTAGCTGACATCAGCCTGGCGGAATGGGGCCGCAAAGCCATCGACATTGCAGAGAACGAGATGCCCGGCCTGATGAAGATGAGGGAGATGTACGGCCAGTCCAAGCCCCTGAAGGGCGCCCGCATCGCAGGCTGCCTCCACATGACCCTGCAGACCGCCGTGCTCATTGAGACCCTCACTGCCCTCGGAGCAGAGGTGAGAGACGCTCTTCCATGCAAGTCTTCCTCTATGAAGGTTTGACTAGATACGTTCCTGCACACTGCACGTAGCCTCAAGTGTCACTTTTGTACTTTAAATGCTAACATCTTGGTCTGTTGACCTTCGTCACATTATCTGACAAAGGACTGTTCTATTTCAAATAAAAGTGAAACTTTGTGAGCAAACAGTGTGCTGGAACGTCTTGTCTTTTATCGGGTCAGGACTCTGGTCAGGCGTAACTAGTTCATCCTGGTTTCTGAGAGTTCTGTCTCAAACAAATGATTTGAGTGGGTCATATTAGAATTGGAAAGCAGGTCTCATCAATCTTGCAGGTTTGAGAACCACTGCAAGAAAGGGCAATACACTTATTTGAATAAGACTCTATGGCAAAGACGAGGCTAAACCTTAGCAAAAACAAGCTGAGGCATCATGGGAATGGAGAAGTCCACACAAGTGTTTCGGTTGACAGTGTTAACTAAATGTAAGTCACTGTTGATTGATTGGCCCCTGTGGTAGCCATCCACCACAACACTTTAGATTAATTTGGTCAGCCAAAAGTCCAACTCATTCACTTGGCTTCAGCAGATGCTAATTTGATCTCGATAAATGTGAATTGTTAGACGAATCTTGATGATTAAAATTCCATGCTTTTTAAAATGATTGATTGACACTGTCTGCAGTGTCATCGAGTCGCGTATGAAAATGTCCAGGCCTACAATGCATTTGAAAAGTATTCAGACCCCTTGACCTTTTCCACATTTTGTTACATTATGTATTAAATAGAAAAAACAGGTTAAGACATTTTAGAACATTTTTTAATGTATTCAGACCCTTTACTCAGTACTTTGTTGAAGCACCTTTAGAGCGATTACAGCCTAGAGTCTTCTTGGGTATGATGCTACAAGCTTGGCACACCTGTATTTGGGGAGTTTCTCACATTCTTCTCTGCAGATCCCCTCAAGCTCTTTCAGGTTGGATGGGGAGCGTCGCTGCACAGCTATTTTCAGGTCTCTCCAGAGATGTTGGATCGGGTTCAAGTCCGGGCTCTGGCTGGGCCACTCAAGGATATTCAGACTTGTCCCGAAGCCACTGCTGCATTGTCTTGGCTGTGTGCTTAGGGTCGTTGTCCTGTTGGAATGTGAACCAGTCTGAGGTCTTGAGAGCTCTGGAGCAGGTTTTCATCAAGGATCTCTCTGTACTTTGCTCCGTTCATCTTTCCCTCGATCCTGACTAGTCTCCCAGTCCCTGCCGCTGAAAAACATCCCCACAGCATGATGCTGCCACCACCATGCTTCACCGTAGGGATGGTGCCAGGTTTCCTCCAGACATGATGCTTGGCATTCAGGCCAAAGAGTTCAATCTTGGTTTCATCAGACCAGAGAATCTTGTTTCTCATGATCTGAGAGTCCTTTAGATGCCTTTTGGCAAACTCCAAGCGGGCTGTCATGTGCCTTTTTACTGAGGAGTGGCTTCCGTCTGGCCACTCGATCATAAAGGCCTGATTGGTAGAGTACAGCACAGATGTTTGTCCTTCTGGAAGGTTCTCCCATCTACACAGAGGAACTCTAGAGCTCTGTCAGAGTGATCATTGGGTTCTTGGTCACCTCCCTGACCAAGGCCCTTCTCCCCCAATTGCTCAGTTTGGCCGGACGGCCAGCTCTAGGAAGAGTGTTGGTGTTTCCAAACTTCTGCCATTTAAGGTTGATGGAAGCCACTGTGTTCTTGGGGACATTCAATGCTGCAGATATTTTTTGGTACCCTTCCCCAGATCTGTGCCTCGACACAATCCTGTCTCGGAGCTCTAGGGACAATTCCTTCGACCTCATGGCTTGGTTTTTGCTCTGACATGCACTGTCAACTGTGGGACCTTATATAGACAGGTGTGTGCCTTTCCAAATCATGTCCAGTCAATTACATTTACCACAGGTGGACTCCAATCAAGTTGTAGAAACATCTGAAGGATGATCAATGGAAACAGGATGCACCTGAGCTCAATTCTGAGTCTCATAGCAAAGGGTCTGAATACTTATGTAAATAAGGTATTTCCGTAATATTATTTTATTTAAACCTGTTTTCGCTTTGTCATTATGGGGTATTATGTGTAGATTGAGGACAAAAAATAATTTAATCAATTTTAGAATGAGGCTGTAACGTTAGAAAATGGAAGGGGTCTGAATACTTTCCGAACGCACTATATATAAACACTGAAATCTAGCCTGTGGTAACTGTAGCAGCATGGAGGGAAACACTCATGAGTTACCAGTATTTTCCCTGGACACATAGAATTTCCCTCCTCCCCCGTTCACTGCCCCAAGGCCATCCTGGTTTTATCAAAGCTAAGTGCGACTAAGTGTGCACACTTAATCAGACCGGTTATCTCTGTCATTTAAGCAATGTTCTGAGAAGAGACTTGTGGTGTGGGAGTGCGAACTGAGTGAGAATGTCCTTGTCAACCTGTGCCCGTTTTTCTCGTCTGTAGGTTCAATGGTCCAGCTGCAACATCTTCTCCACTCAGGACCACGCTGCTTCAGCCATTGCCAAAACTGGGGTTCCAGGTACACACACAATTGTTTGTTTAAAAACCACTCAGGACCTGCTCTGTGGCTAGCACTGGTTCCAGCCTGCTCTCACTTTGCCCTTGTGCAACAGTAAGAGATAAGGCAGACCAGAAGTACACAAGGGTCCTCCATTGGTCTTTAAGGCCTAAGGGGCAGCGTGTTCTGCTACATAAGCCTGTTGTTCACTCTCAATAGACTGGTATCATGTGATATGTCAATATATATAGAACTGTGACTCTCGATAAAACTAGAACATTCTGTTTTCCCCGACCGTGTTGCACAGTCCAATTTATTTTAATTCAGGAGTAGGCCTATATTCATTGCCTAACATTCATCCTATGAGGTCTCTTAGATGTCACCATTGCTTAGCGCTACATTACCCCTGCAGTCATGTCAATCTGTGAAGTTCTAGAGGATATTTGCTGTTTGGTTTTCCACACATAATTATTTTACACTCTGGTGGTGTTCTGGGGGAGAAGTTACGAGGCCAGAAGAGTATCAGCGTCTGCATCAGTGAGGTGCTTATTTGGTTTGGTCTATAGCCAGGTTTCAGCCACTCGCTGTTCAAAGCCTTGAATGTCATAGGTTGATATGATTCCTGAGTAACACTTCTCCAGGCGTGATCCTCAGCCCAGTGTGACTGTGGAGAAAAAATGACCTGGAATGCGGCCATTATGTGTCAAATGAGTTTTGGAAAGCTCTTCACACTTCAGTTAATGACAGTAGTTGGATTTGTCAAGGAATTTGATCATAGGCCAATAATGTAGAACTTGTTTCACTAAAGAGAAGTTTACCTAATGGATAGAAAGTTTAGATGAAAATGAATGTTCCAATTGGTAATTGCCTGCTTTGTTTAAAATGTTTTCTCCTGGTTCATGCCTATAGAACACAACCCTTTTCTCTGCCATTGCAAAGCGGTCTCTCCTCAACCCTGATTCTCACGCCTCTCTCATTGTAGTGTACGCCTGGAAGGGCATGACTGACGAGGAGTATGTGTGGTGCATCGAGCAGACCATCTACTGGAAGGACGGCCAGCCCCTCAACATGATCCTGGACGACGGCGGTGACCTCACCAACATGGTCCACAAGAAGTACCCCAAACTGCTGTCAGGTACGGGAGCTAGCTACCTCTAACTGACAACCGTCAGGGCCTCACAGATGGTGCAGCTTAATTAACAAAACAAGGCACTGTATTGTTACAGATCTGCAAACGTTGAAGGGGTAGGGCAGAAAGTGGGATTTACCGGTCCCAATTCGTTCCCTCCCCCTTGGCCCCAACCAGATTTGGGTAGGTTTAAAGTAGTGTAGTGGTTGAGCGCCCATTTTGCTTTCAGCGTCCACAGACGCAGACTCGATAGTCCGGTGTCCCATTGTGACATAGCTAGGCGGCTCTGACACCACCGTCCATGGGGGATGCACAGCCCAAAATTCCCAACCAACAGGGCTCCATGTACGCGTCTATTCATTTGAATGTGGTGACGGTTGAAGAAATTGCTTGAGCCGCGCTGAGAATTCAAAGTATGAAAGCCAACGGTCCAATATTCTAGGGCACTGTTATTTTTTTTGCACTCCGACGCTTTACAGATCTGTAAACATCAATCAGAGGGTTAGTTGGGGAGTCTCTCACTGCCCAGTTACTTGCCATGGCTTATGGTTAGGGCCAGGAGTTTTGGGGCACCTTTTGAGGCACAGTGCTTTTACTGGTATTTTCCTGCATTGTCCACTAGTGTTGCTGCAGGTAGGAAATATCAAAGATCTATTATATTACATTTACATTTTAGTCATTTAGCAGACGCTCTTATCCAGAGCGACTTACAGGAGCAATTAGGGTTAAGTGCCTTGCTTAAGGGCACATCGACAGATTTTTCACCTAGTCAGCTCGGGGATTAGAACCAGCGACCTTTCGGTTACTGGCACATATTGACAAGATAGTCGAGTGACCGCTCTAACAATGGAAATGCATGTCCTCAAAGATGGAAGGCCATCATTTGAGACCGTTCTAGCCAATGAGATGGCAGATACGAGCGAGTGAACAGGCACAACTAAGTATTTTTTTCTGAAGTTGCTGGAATGTCACGTGCATTCATTTATGAGTACAATGCCTGGTTGGGCTGTGCTTGGTGGGGGATTGCCTAAGCCAGGGGAGGCATAGCGCTGCGACTCTTGTGCTGCTTTGACATTTTAGTCATTTAGCAGATGCTCTTATCCAGAGCAACTTAGTGAGTTCTTACATTTTCATACTTTTTTTCGTACTGGTCTCCCATGGGAATCAAACACACAACCCCGGCGTTGCAAGTGCCATGCTCTACCAACTGAGCCACATTGGACCACAGACGGTTCAATCTTTTTTAAAATCACCGATATGGTCTTTTGACCAATCACATCAGATCTTTTTACATCTTTACAGAACTGATCTGATTGGTCAAAAGACCAATTAGTGAAAAAATATCAGAAAACATATTATTTGGCAGAGAATACTATTTTGGCGCATTTTCCAAGGAGGCTTTCATCTATGTGGGCCGGCACCCGTGTATCACTGGGCTATGGTTCCGGCGGACATGCTCTACTTGGAGCCAAAGCAAGGCCCTGGGTACTTTTCAGGTGGCATTTACTTAACAATGGCTAACTTAACTTTTAAAACCTTCTCACAAAGCAACAGTCTTGAATGATGCAGACTTTGATTCTGTTCGCCACATATCTTGTCACACTCCTGATGGAAACACTAACATTAGAGCCAACATTAACATAAAACACTGGCTGCCCACTGATGTGGGGGTAACTCTTAATGGAACTGAACTGTAGATAAGTGATTTTACACCTAATTTGCTCAAGCTAATCCTCTCCAACGGACTTAAAGTGTAGTGAGTCAATTAAATGAACCATGGAAATATATTGTAGCGAATTTGGGGGGGGAAATCTGGTGGGAAGTGAGCGGGCAACCAGAGGGTTGCTGGGATCAAATCCAAGATGCCATTGCCTGCAGTTGTCCCCTTGAGCAAGGCACTTAACCCCCCACAACAACAGCTCCCCGGGCGCCCAGTGTGGCAGCCCCCTGCACCTCTCCAAAACCTGTACATTGCATTTGGAAAGTATTCAGACCCCTTCACTTTTTGTTACTTTACAGCCTTATTCTAAAATGGATTAAATTGTTTTATCCCCTCATCAATCTACACACGATATCCCTTAATGACCAAGCAAAAACAAGATTTTAGACATTTTTGCAAATTTATAAATCAACTCACACTTACATAAGTATTCAGACCCTTTACTCTACTTGGTTGAAGCACCTTTGGCAGTGATTACAGCCTTGAGTCTTCTTGGGTATGACGCTACAAGCTTGGCACACCTGTATTTGGGTTGTTTCTCCTATTCTTCTCTGAAGATCCTCTCAAGCGCTGTCAGGTTGGATGGGGAGCGTTGCTGCGCTGCTATTTTCAGGTCTCTCCAGAGATGTTCGCTCGGGTTCAAGTCTGGGCTCTGTCTTGGCCACTCAAGGACATTCAGAGACTTGTCCCGAAGCCACTCCTGCGTTGTCTTGGCTGTGTGCTTAGGGTCATTGTCCTGTTGGAAGGGCAACCTTCGCCCCCAGTCTGAGGTCCTGAGCGCTCTGGAGCATGGTTTTTCATCAAGGATCTCTCTACTTTGCTCGGTTCATCTTTCCCTCCAATCCATGACTAGTCTCCCAGTCCCTGCCGCATCCGAAAAAACATCCCCACCATGCTTAACCGTAGGTATGGTTCAGGTTTCATCCTGACGTGATGCTTTGCAGGCCAAAGAGTTCATCTTTTCATCAGACCAGAGAATGTTGTTCTCTGGTCTAGTCGTAGCCTTTTGGCAACTCAAGTGGCTGTTATGTGCCTTTACTGAGAGTGGCTTCCGTCTGGCAACATAAGGCATGGTGGATGCGCAGAGATGGTTGCCTTCTGGAGGTCTCCATCATTTTACATGACATTTTAGTCATTTAGCAGCGCTCTATACAGAGCGCTGGAGCATTGGGGTAAGTGCCTTCTCAAGATTGTTAACGTCTTTAGCTGACGCTCTTAGCCAGAGCGACTCACAAATTGGGCGTTCCCTATCTGGGATAACCACAATGGGGGGGGGGGGGCAGATTCTACCACAGAATTCTGGAGCTCTGTCAGTGACCATCGGGTTCTTGGTCACCTCCCTGACCAAGACCCTTCTCCCCCGATTGCTCAGTTTGGCCGGGCGGCCAGCTCTTGGAAGAGTATTGGTGGTTCCAAACTTCTTTCATTTAAGAATGATGGAAGCCACTGTGTTCTTGGGACCTTTAATGCTGCAGATATTTTTTGGTACCCTTCCCCAGATCTGTGCCTCGACACAATCCTGTCTCGGAGCTCTACAGACAATTCCTTCGACCTCATGGCTTGGTTTTTGCTCTGACATGCACTGTCAACTGTGGGACCTTATATAGACAGGTGTGTGCCTTTCCAAATCATGTCCAATCAATTGAATTTACCACAGGTGGACTCTAATCAAGTTGTAGAAACATCTCATGGATGATCAATGGAAACCGGATGCACCTGAGCTCAATTTCGAGTCTCATAGCAAAGGTTGTCAATTTGAATAATGTAAAACATACTGGATGATCATGGAAACCGGATGCACTTGAGTCTTTCGGGGTGGTTAAAAAGGGTTGAATACTTATGTAAATAGGTTTTGTTTGTAAGAATTCGAAATTTTAAATTCCCGTATCACTGTTGTGTATAGTTGACTCAGATGGGAGAAATAATAATAGTTATATCAATTTTGATAGGTAACTTACAAAGGTGAAGGGGTCTGAATACTTTGATGCACTTGTTGGCTTCCGGAGGTGTTTAAAAGCGGGATTCCAACATTTGTTCCAAAAGTGCTATGGCCCTGTGGCACCTGAGAGATCTATTTAGTCCGACGACGAGGTGTAAGAACCACACTTGCAATATACCTTGCAAAACTTGACTCGAAATTGGGAAATACCACTTGTACTGCTGTAATTATCAGCAGGGCTGTTGGTTTGAGTCTTATACACTAGGTGGCAGCATTACTCCACAAAGCCAATACTGAGAGAACCTCAGAACTAAAGGGATTAGGCAAGCAACATGCAGCAGGCACTCTATAACAGTGACTATTAACTTAAACACAGTCCCTGGGGAACGTTACTTTGGATTGAAGACTTTATTGCTGTTTGGAATGTTAATTGCCATTCGTAGTAGTTATCTCAGAGCAGAGATCTGGCTGTGGTCCTGATCCTTTTCAGCCATGGTTTTGGTACCACCTACCAGATGTGGATGCCATGAAAAATGGTCTTAATTAAACATTCAGTCATGGTTAAAACAATGTTAATTGTCTCCCTCAGGAATCAAGGGTGTGTCTGAGGAGACCACCACCGGGGTACACAACCTGTACAAGATGATGAAGAACGGCGACCTCAAGATCCCAGCCATCAACGTCAACGACTCCGTTACCAAGGTAGACCCACTTGTCCTCCCTGAGTAGGGCCATGCATGCATCCTCAGTTCTTAATAGTGCCATTTAAATAATGCTGGTGAATACAGGGATGTATTAAATAGGGGTGCAATGTGTAGAATGTAAACAGAACTCATATAGATGGGTCATTAATAGAACTGATACACTTGCGCGTTCTATCCAACCATCGTTGGTTGTTATAAAATGTATTTTTTGAGTTGTGCATTTTGTAATGTTGCACCCTCCTGAGTAGGCAGCGGGTATTACGTTCCAATACATTGACTCCCTCTCTTAATACCAGCTCTCGCTCTCCCCCTCCAGAGCAAGTTTGACAACCTGTACGGCTGCAGAGAGTCCCTGATTGATGGGATCAAGCGGGCCACAGACGTGATGATCGCCGGGAAGGTGGCGGTTGTTGCCGGATACGGTGACGTCGGCAAGGGCTGTGTTCAGGCCCTCCGTGGGTTCGGTGCCCGAGTCATAGTCACAGAGGTGGACCCCATCAACGCTCTGCAGGCTGCCATGGAGGGTGTGTACCATTCTTAAGTTTGGTTATATGACAACGTTCTTGTTTTGATTTGACAGTATCCCAGAACGTTCTTGGAGATTCAACAGCTCATAGAAAGTTGGTTATAGGTGTGCGTTCTGTTGTCTCCGGTGCCTAGCAAATATAATTGAGAGAACTGTTTTTAAGTTCCGGGCCATATTATAAGTGACGTGTAAACGATTTCTGCTTTACCCCATCTCATTTGTTCACCGCAGCAGTGAGCTCAACTTTATACATTTGAGCTTATGTTATTGATTACTAGTTCTACATTTTTGTGTAGTATTACTACAGTACATACTAGTTGTTGTGTTATTTCATTGTCTTTTGTGATAATGTTGTAGGATACGAAGTCACCACCATGGAGGAGGCTTGCAAGGAGGGAAACATATTTGTGACCACCACCGGCTGTGAGGACATACTTTTGGGCAAGTAGGTATCATTTTGGAGTCCGGTAGAGCACCATGCAACCACGCTCTGTCTGATCAGAAGTACAGTTAAATCCTACGTTGTTGTCATTCCTCAATTCAGTGATTGTATGCAACACAGGAAAATGCATTCAGAGTAGATGTTACCTCTAGGTACAGATCTCAGATCGGCTTATTCTCGCCCCATATTATTTCTGAGGAATGGCCACTAGCCTAAAACCCTTCCCTTTAGTGGAGGAAACTTAAAGCTGACCTGATGCCGCAGTCACGTGCTATCAGAAACTCTGAATCTGCGAGTAAAAATGAACCAAAGTTATTTGCGTAGAGCTTCCTATTGGTTGATTGTGATACTTTCCAAGTGGGGGAAACTCGGGAGCATCTTTCTACAACCAGTAGACATTTCAGAGTTTCCTAGTTCCGACTAGCATGTGAACGCAGCCTTATAGCAGTGTCTTGGGGCAACATCGTCCTTCTCTGAAATGTAACTGTAGCCGTGTCTACAACAGGCCATTAATGTACACACTGGTGTGCTCCCCAGACACTTTGAGCACATGAAAGACGACTCCATCGTTTGCAACATCGGCCACTTCGACTGTGAGATCGACATGAACTGGCTCAATGCCAACGCAGCCGAGAAGATAAACATCAAGCCACAGGTAAGACTAACCACACACACCCTAGATGTGCTACGTAGGTTATGTCTACAGTAATGTAGCCCTTGAGTTTCGGCCATTGTCATATATATACGAACGTTCTCCTCCCGCTAGGTGGACCGCTACCGCATGAAGAGCGGGCCGCCACATCATCGTGCTGGCTGAGGGCAGATTGGTCAATCTGGGCTGTGCCATGGGCCACCCCAGCTTTGTTATGAGCAACTCCTTCACCAACCAGGTGTTGGCCCAGATTGAGCTGTGGAAGAACACCAGCAAGTACCCCCTGGGAGTCTACTTCCTGCCCAAGAAGGTGAGCCATTGAGCGGAGAAACACCGTTTCCACTTGTCTTTTAATCACCAGATTGATTGTGTATTATGTAGCTATGCAGTTGCGGGCACTAAAGTTGGGTTGCACGGCGAAATTGGCAGAACAAATGCCACTATGCGTGCACAATGTGGCACTCTAGTCTCGCTACTTATAGCAATATTTTGTCACAACCTGTATATGGTGCAGGGTTTTAAAAAGGGTTAAATGTTTTCAGTGCATGCAGCTGTATACAGTTTAATAGGAAAGAAATGTTGCGATAAGACATAGAAATGTTGAGTGGATACCATGTGGTTTTCTCTAAAAAGCAAGCAGTGTATCCTAAGTTGACCCCGCTGTAACCCTTGGTCGAAATGAAGTGGTTTCGGGGACTGTGGGGAAAATACCAGGTGGACACGGGTAGATTTTTCCAGTTCTCAGCATTGGACATGCATTTGTGCAGGTAGTAGTATGTAATCAAATATGCTCCATTTAACATTACAGCGTAGCCTGTATTCAGTTTGCAGAACTGCGTAATGCATATTTTATTGATCTCTGCTTGAGTTGAGGATGTTCTTAAAGGATAATTCCGCCACTTTTCAACCTCTTATTCATTATCTCCGCACCATACCAGTGTCTCCATACAGTATGTGAAAATGGCGTGTTTCTTTGATCTGGCGTTAAAAAGGTCAGAAGAAGGGTCCTAAAATGCTTGTGTCATCACCGGGTAGGATTAAAAGTAAGAAAAACAGTGCTTTTTTCAAAATCTGCAATGAGTTTCTAGCCAGAGGGAGGGTATTTTCTTGCTCCCAAGTCACCACTAATCTTAGCGTTTGAAAATCATCGGGTAGAACTTTTCAAATTAATTCAAAAATTTTTCACATATGTAAACACTGGTATTGTGTTGGAGATGATTGCTTCATTGTGGATTGTATATTATATGTCTTGTGACTATTCAAAGAAATGGAAATTAGGCTAAATGTGCATAATGGCTGATTAACCCTGAAATGGGTAGCCAAAATGAGGCTCTTTGTACTTGGGGCAGAAATTGAGCATTACAGTGTCATTTTGCATTGAGTGACACATGGGTTTTGGTGAACATCTTAAGGCCTTTAACTGAAGCCATACGCTCAGAGCTGAGCGCAAGAGATATGCTCATGAGAAGTTGGGAACTAAGCCAGGGAAGGTTCTCTTGAGTGCCTGCCGACTAGCAGGAATTCCATCCATAGCATCACGAACCGTACCCCATGTGGAAAAAAAAAAGAGAATTCCAGCTGCATACCTAACCCATCCCTAAGAGGTCAACCTATTGCCATAAGAGAATATGTTTTTATTTATTTTGTTGAAGAGTACATGGTCTGTCAAATAGATGAACCACCCCTGTGATGTATAATTCTTCTGTTGCTAAAAACCTCATGTTCAGCCTTGTCTTGACGGCCATGTTTTGACAGCTCCATTGAATTCTGTCTGCTCTTGGCATTGACGGCAGTTTTGAAAATGCTCCTGTGATTTTGACCCAACTGCTTGGGAGCAACAAAGCATGTTGTTCACTAATTTACTCCAAGTAGGGAAAGGATGGTGGGGTTGAAAAGTAATAAAGGGGAGTATATATATATATATATTTAAAAAAACATGGGGGATTGGAAGTGATGCAGACATCTACATTGATAGATTGTATCTTCTATCTGCAATATTAAGCTGATCCATTCCAAAAAAATAAAAAAAATAAAGCATGTTAATTTTTTTTGTCTTGTGTGGTAAATGTGGTTCGAGTGATTGAACCCTGTAACTAATCGACTCGTTTTGTCCCAGTGTAAGGAAACGTTATTCAGAATTTGACTTGTATCATCCTTTTCTCTTGTTTGCAGCTGGATGAGGAGGTGGCTGCTGCCCATCTTGACAAGCTCGGCGTCAAGCTGACCAAGCTTTCGGATAAGCAAGCCAAATACCTGGGACTGCCCCGCGAAGGACCCTTCAAGCCTGACCATTACCGCTATTGAGAAATGTCAGGAAGGTGGCCAAGCAACGGCCCAGACTCATGGTGGGGTCTGACTGGTGGTATGGTGGCGCATGGACACGTGGGTTTGGGTAGGCGAAGATTCCCAGGAGTCTTCTGGAGGCTAGGACATTTTTGCTAATGCTCTGCTTCAACTGCCTTTTAAACTGTCTTGCCCACTGTATACACACCTTTAGATTCCAACCAGAGCTCCTTCACCTTTCAAGTAACAAGTGCTTAGTGGCTTCTAAAGGCACCATTCTTCTTATAAATTGCATTCCCTCTTTGATCATGGAAAAAAATCTGATGCTTTTAGTTGAAAATCCCCATACTATTCAGGTTTTTATATATATATATATATATATATATATACACCGTAGCTAATAAGGCAGTAAGTGCTGGTTTCATATCATTGTCTTAAGGAGAAACTCCAAAGTACCACCAAAGCAGTTCTTGCCTGGCTTAAAGAACACTTACTCAGTTTCCCCATTTGCTTATTTTGTAAGTCTAGGATTCTGGCTGAAGGGACAGAAAACGTCTAAGTGCTTTCCTGTTCTGTTTTCTTAGCTGAACTGAGATGGAATGGGGTGTGGTCAGGTCGAAACTATACTGCCATGTTTAACGGTTACATTGTTTATCCCAAGTGTTGCATTTCCTACAGTACTTGCACTATTGTGAAATGTGATGCAATAAAGATCACATTTTACTGGGTTGTAATTCTCTTTATTTTCAAAAGATAATGAACTTATGTTGCATGGCAAACGCAAGAGTTGAAATAATGCAACGCATGCTGCAATGCGGAGAACAAATGTCGGACTCCTCAATTGGAAACAACTGACAATCTGCCGGGACACCATTACCGCAGTTGATCTGCACGTGGCAAACTGGAGCTGTGCAAAGATATGCATTGGGGGATTGTGTATCAATTAAGTTAACTTTGCTCTGCAATATCAACATTTTGATTCTACTTTTGATATAAAGTAACTTCACTCAGGAAGATGCATCAACTAATTGAATACTAGCTTTTCTTTCAGTTATTCCCTGTTCCCGCCAACACTCATTAAACAACTCTACAGTATACGTTACAAGCATTTGGGTTTGAAACTGACCTGTCCTTAATCAGGAAAAAGTGTGAATAAATAAATGCAATTTTTAAGGCTTGAAAATCTTATACTACAATCTGCTTAAGGTCTGGAATTCTTGAACTACATTGATACAAGGTAAATAAAAAGATAAATGTGGTTACGCTACTCCCATGAACTACATCCGTCATCTCCCCAAAGTAATTGCTGCAAATGAGAAGGGTTGAGGTCTTAAATATATTCAATAGCTGTGGGGGAAAGCCTGTTTTATTTAATGCAAGCACCCTAGGTTTGCACAGATAATCTTAAACTGTCAAACTGATTGGGCCTTTCTGAAGTATGCAGCTTTGTCAGTAATATGCTGTATGACAAGATTTAAACTGTTATTTTTGATGGACATAGGATGAATATGCATACAAGCTGTAAATGTATCTGTCTACAGGCCATAACATTTCAAATCGATGGGCACCCCCTAATCTACAATTGTTCGGAAAACTGCAGCTTGCCATGTTTACTTTAAATCCATAAAAGCTTTATAAAGGAACACCTGCACAAAGATCCTATTTGCTGAACGAGAGTGGAAAAAAACTTCCTGCTCATGGACATAGTGAGAAGAGAAATCACGCTGCAAGCATTGTGCAATTGTCTTTTTGCGTATTCCTAGGGCTGTTTTGTGGACCGAAGTCACTTGAAGTCTTAACATTTAATGTAGGCCTAGCTTTCTTTTGCTGTTTTTCGATTGTTCGGTAGCACACATTAAGTTACCCTTTTATAAAGAGTTCACCACAGCTCATTTTAGAAGCATTTGTCAGTGCATTTAATAAGTGTTAATATTGGTTCACTTTGGCAGGCACTGAACAGCATCTTTTTCCACATTTTTGTTGTTACAGCCTGAATTTAAAATGGATTAAATTGAGATTTTGTGTCACTGGCCTACACACAATACCCCATAATGTCAAAGTGGAATGATGTTTTTAGATGTTTTTTTTACAAATAAATGAAAAGCTGAAACATCTTGAATCAATCAACTCCTCTTGTTATGGCAATCCTAAAGTTCAGGAGTAAAAATGTTCTTAAGTTGCATGGACTCACTGTGTGCAGTAATAGTGTTTAACTATGATTTTTGAACACATATAATTATCTGTAAGATTCCGCAGTCGAGCAGTGAATTTCAAACAAAGATCCAACCACAAAAGACCAGGGAGGGTTTCCAATGCCTCGCAAAGAAGGGCACCTATTGGTGTGTAAAAAATATTGAATATTACTTTGAGCATGGTCAAGTTATTAATTACACTTTGGAGGTGTATCAATACACCCAATCGCTACAAAGATACAGGTGTCTTTCCTAACTCAGTTGCCGAAGAGGAAGGAAAAATCAGGGATTGCACCATGAGGCCAATGGTGACTTTAAAACAGAGTTCAATGGCTGTGATAGGAGAAAACTGAATGACAGAGTGAAAAGAAGGAAGCCTGTACAGAACAAAACAAATATTCCAAAACATGCATCCTGTTTTAAATAAATCTCTAAAGTAAAACTGCAACAAAAAGTGGCAAAGAAAATAACTTAATGTCCTGAATACAAAGTTATGTTTGGGGCAAATCCAACACAACACATTACTGAGTACCACTCTTCATATTTTAAAGCATGGTGGTGACTGCATCATGTTATGGGTATGCTTGTCATCGGCAAGGACTAAGGAGTTTTTAAGGATAAAAATAAACAGAATAAAGCTAAGCACAGGCTAAATCCTAGAGGAAAACCTGGTTCAGTCTGCTTTCCAACAGACACTGGTAGAAAAATTAACCTTTCAGCAGGACAGTAACCTAAAACACACGGCCAAATAACACTGGAGTTGCTTACCAAGATGACATTGAATGTTCCTGAGTGGCCAAGTTAGTTTGACTTAAATCGGCTTGAAAATCTATGGCAAGACTTGAAAATGGCTGTCTAGCAATGATCAACAACCAACTTGAAAGAGCTTGATGAATTTAAAAAATAATAATGTGCAAATATTGTACAATCCAGGTGTGCAAAGCTCTTAGAGACTTACCAAGAAAGACTCACAGCTGTAATTGCTGCCAAAGGTGATTCTAATATGTATTGACTCAAGGATGGGAGTACTTATGTAAATGAGATATGTCTTTATTTCGTTTTCTATACATTTTCTAAAAATTGGATATTGTGTGTCAAATGGATTTAATCAATTTTGAATTCAGGTTGTACCACAACAAAATGTGGAATAAGTCAAGGGGTATGAATACTTTCTGAATGCACTGTATCGCACCAATGCTTTATAAATGTTTAATAGTTTATAATGCATTAATAAATGAATAATTAACATGAATTACCTTATTGTAAACCCTTTTAAGAGTACTTTAAAGGGATAGTTCACTCAAATTACAAAATGTTTTCCACATGCTAATGTTTTAGCATTTGTGGCACAAATCCCATTTAAGTCATGGGACCGATATTAAAATTTTTTGGGCATTAAGTTCAAAACATCTATAAGTGACTTTGTTGAGCTTCACAAACAATTGTAGATACTTTCGGATGATTTGGACATGATGTGCAAAAAAGTATAATATCGGTCAGTGGCGTGTATTCATGGATGCCAAGGGAAGCCAGGCTTCCCCAAAACATTACCAAGAAAAATAATTAAAAAACATTTATCTTTCATCTCTCCGTTTCATAATTTTCCTACAATTCGCAAGAGCTGAATGTATCTCACTGGAGAAAGCATCCGAGCGAGTGAAACAGAGCCCTTCTATCTGATGCTGTCTGGTCCAAACGAGTATGACATTGTGGCCGCCCGTAGTATTGAATGCAAAGGAAGCCAGCCAGTATTTGGCCTCCCTTGATTTAAAAAAGTATTTAAAAAATAGCCAATCAGCGTTGAGCTAAACTGAGTGAGCTCAACTGTGAACGGTCCAGGCGCACCATAAAAAAGTGTCAAGGGAAGCCAGCTTGGATTTGGCGTCACTCCTATCAAATCTTATTGAGCGCATACATTATTGACAGAAACAACTTGAATTGTTGCATCTCGTTGTGTTGTTGTCCTCCGCTGGCTAGCTAGCTAGCTAAACTGGGCCCTTTCCTAAATTAGCCATGGATGGAGATAGGGATTTGAAATTGTGGTTTTACTTAATTCTCTGTACTGGCTAATGATTATAACAGCGATTCTGATCCAACCATTAATTCATCTATTGTTGTGGCCCTGGCCTGAGAGGATGGAAGTTCAATATATAGCTAGATGTAGAAGGCTAATTTAAACTAGCTAATGTTGCCCATGAATGGAAGATAGGCTAGCGAGCAAGCATTTTAGCCAGTTATAGCCTAGGACAACAAAAACTAAAAGCGTGTACTGTATGACAGAGTGATAGACCGTTTCGTCAACATGAAAGAGAGGAGGATGGCATTGGCGTTTCTCTACAAGTAGGGTGAGTCAACATGTTTTTTCTACTTGCACGAATGTGCACACACACACACACACACACACACACACAGAGATCAGATCAATGGACAGCCACTTCATATTTAGCTTACGTTGATTGGACAAAATTGTATTTGGTATCTTTTAGTTGTCACTGTGTTATACTAAGCATAGGTGATTTGATGATGTTGAAATGTTGAAGTTAAAATGGTGCTGGAATAGTGGAGGCAGCTGCTGTTTTCTTTGCGACTTGCAGTAACTCTCCATGGTTCTAAATCAATAGTTGTTTAGTAGTTCGAAAATGTCGGAAACATGAACTTGCTTGACCATGCTGTAGGTCACGTAACTGTTTGTTACATGCAATATGCTTTATGGACTTCACCGGACAGAGGTTGCACTCCGGTTTTGTGATGAAACAAAGGTTTGGTTGAATTTATTCTTGTTATTGTCTCGGCCTTTAGGCCTATATATCAAGGTCGCAAGGCATATGA